CAGGAGGGATTTTCACACGAAGCCAATCGGAAAAAACAAATTCCAAGTCGGACCAAAGTCCATGCAGGTTCCCACCTGATAACCCATGACACAACACCGATTTAGCTTGGTTAAGTTTATTGATTTTCGTACCACCTTCACTCTCGATAAAACTCGTGACTTGGCCTGGAGAAGCCTTCGTGTCAATAGAGTAACGTTACCCAGCAATAAATCTACCGATTGTCTTTCAGTTTGCACTACTTTCCTTTTGAGTCTTGACTGATTGAATTTATTTGGGACTGGTAATATCGAACTAGTTTCCAATTCAGCGGATTTGGTGACCTTGCAAATTTGTCCTCCAGAAGAAACCAGTGAACGACATTCAGGACTTGTAAAACTCGGCATCTTAAACTCCATCCTTTCAGTAAACTCCCATTAACCGATACGGCCTATTGCGAGTGTCGTTGCACATTCGGTGTCATTATTGCGTTGGAATCAGCTGACTCGCTGCGTCGCAGTGAAATTAAATGGAACAGTGGTGAAACTAAACAGTGATGATTAATACCGGGTAAGTGTGTATAGCCATCTTGTATGTACTATTGGGTTCAAAGTCGTAAACTTCAGGCCAGCTGTTGCTGAATTGCGTATCCAACAGCGGCACCAACGAAAAACTTTTATCATATAAACGGTATCACCGAACATATTCATAGTTTGGCGAAACCGAAAATTCAGCCGGTCAGGAAGAACATACAATGCACCATTCTTTCTGCAATAGGATTATCAAGAATTCATAGACCTTTAACTGTGAAGGATCCCCTACCGGTCGAGAGGCCTAGAGGTGCGTATAAAATTAAATTCAAGGGTTACAACAAAACCTACATGCAACAAACAGTCGGGAAATTAAACGTCAGGCGAGCACAAGAAAAGGACTGATAAACCACCATGGAAAGAGGACGAACATTAGGCGCTCGTCAAAGACTGGGCGATGTGGGGCATGCGTTTGACAAAGCCCATAGAACAGATCTGTGAAGTGTAGAATATTAGGACGGAAACTGCTATTGGCACCACAGCGGCTGATGGCCGAGGCGGTGTACATAGCCAAGCACCAGAGTGAATAGAATCTAGGGCGTACAGCTGGACAAGCCAAGTTGACACCTGACGGTGTCTGCCTGTCAATAGACATGGGTTCGTTAGGAAGAACGGGTTAAAAGAACAACCCAAACAAAGTTCACAGAACCTGTTTTACTTACACAACTATCATGGCACTAGCTCTTCTATTCAATCGGACAAAAAGTATACATGAGGTTCAGGAGGGATTTTCACACGAAGCCAATCGGAAAAAACAAATTCCAAGTCGGACCAAAGTCCATGCAGGTTCCCACCTGATAACCCATGACACAACACCGATTTAGCTTGGTTAAGTTTATTGATTTTCGTACCACCTTCACTCTCGATAAAACTCGTGACTTGGCCTGGAGAAGCCTTCGTGTCAATAGAGTAACGTTACCCAGCAATAAATCTACCGATTGTCTTTCAGTTTGCACTACTTTCCTTTTGAGTCTTGACTGATTGAATTTATTTGGGACTGGTAATATCGAACTAGTTTCCAATTCAGCGGATTTGGTGACCTTGCAAATTTGTCCTCCAGAAGAAACCAGTGAACGACATTCAGGACTTGTAAAACTCGGCATCTTAAACTCCATCCTTTCAGTAAACTCCCATTAACCGATACGGCCTATTGCGAGTGTCGTTGCACATTCGGTGTCATTATTGCGTTGGAATCAGCTGACTCGCTGCGTCGCAGTGAAATTAAATGGAACAGTGGTGAAACTAAACAGTGATGATTAATACCGGGTAAGTGTGTATAGCCATCTTGTATGTACTATTGGGTTCAAAGTCGTAAACTTCAGGCCAGCTGTTGCTGAATTGCGTATCCAACAGCGGCACCAACGAAAAACTTTTATCATATAAACGGTATCACCGAACATATTCATAGTTTGGCGAAACCGAAAATTCAGCCGGTCAGGAAGAACATACAATGCACCATTCTTTCTGCAATAGGATTATCAAGAATTCATAGACCTTTAACTGCCTGCCCGTTTCGGCTGCCCGGTTGAGGTTCCGAAAATAGGATTTAGTCCCATGGTGCACCCTAGTCTTTTTGTACGGAATACTTATATTTACTTGACGTAACATAAAACTGATCGACAGACCAGGCTGCGGGAAATATTACCTGGTTCACTCACAGCCACTTCTCCTCCCACTGTTCGCATAGTTCATCCAGCTCCCGGAAGCGGACAAAAACTAACTTACAATTTTTCTTCTCGTCGTAATGTTGTTGACCATTCGTCCTACAAATGCCCTTAGCTGGTTCCGTCCAAGACGTTGCTGTATGCATCAGCTGTGTCACCGTTTGGGACGCGCACACCCCTGTATGCTTCAAATGTGGGCTCAGTATAGCTACACGCGAACCACGTCTGTTACGTTAGATTATTACCGGCGATTTGTTGAATTTAGCAACATGAACTGACGCAACTATAACCTTCCACCGCTTATTTGTAAGATTTCGCTCCCTTTGCACTGGAAACATCGAATTCTATAGCCCTGTGATTTCTCCTGAACTCGTTTTAATTCTACGTGAGCCTAGATGCAACTGTGCAGGACGCACCCTTAGAAAGACTGCATTTACATGCACAACTGGTTTCAACCTGAATGGAACATTTTGCCAGATGAGTACACTTTTTGTAGTGTCACAACATACGAGACGTTTTAACAGTATGGCCCTCAAAAGTTTTAATAGCCTAGAAAGATACATCAGTTTTCCGCTTCTGAGATGCTGAAAAATTAGGCAACAATCGATTTGCTCCTCTTCCTCACCACCATCACCAATAGAGATAGCAACATCGACGTTGCTTCACTGCCGTACAACCACAACTGAAACCTCAGAGTGAAAAAACTGGGTGAGACAAAGATCTGGTGACGACTTTTCACAAGCATACTCATGTGCCTACACCTCCAAATGCTCAATCAGGCAACCTGAAAACAAACTGACACCACGAACTCTACTGACATCGATGAGCTGCCCTGGTCAAGAGCAGGACGGGGACCACATCTTGGAAGACGAACCACATCAACAGTACCTGAGCTCTTCATACTCTCATTCACACCCTTGTATCTCTGAATGAGGCATGGAGAACAATACTTGTTTCGGTAGCAATATCTTGGAGTGTGTAGCATATGGGTGAGTAGCCGCAGCTGATGGTGTTGGTTAAACTACCTGTTAAACAACCAAATACCCTTTTTCTAATTGCTTCGTTACCAATTGGTCGACCCCATCTGACCAAAACCAACAATGCGTCTGACGCATCGGTGGTCAAAAACCTCAAAACGCCTCATATCATCTGTTCGAAGAGGCCATATCTTGAAGACGCAAAATAACACAGCTCTTAATTTGGCCTAGTACACGTGACCCCTAAAGCCAAGTAGTATGCCCCTTTGATGTCACCAATGATGCAAACTAAAGCCTTTGGAATTCATTCAGACTTCATCTGACACATTTCCGTCAGAGCTAATACAATAATAACAATAATAATAATAAAATTCTCCAGTGGTTCTTCTTTAATCGTAAGGGGTATTTTCAGAGACCTCACATTATGAAGTACCGGTTTGCACTTTGAAGGTGCAAGGCGCACGCCGAAAGATGGTATGATGATGGTCAGTTTATTGAACAGAACTCGTGCTTCGCCTTCGTCTTCAAAGATCAGGTCATCTGCGTAATCCAGATCGACAAGGTTCTTACCAACAATGATTTGGACACCGAGTTTTTTTTAAAAACTTTCTGCGTTTACCTCACTATTTCATCAATGACGAAGTTGAACAAGAACAGAGAAAGTGAACATCCTTGTCGGAAGCCACTTTTTAGTAAGGAGGCTCTTGAAGAGCTCGTCATACACTCTCACACGTCCAGAAATATGTGAATATAGGGACCGGATTATATCTACAAACTTTTTTGGGCATTTCCCGTTGAGCAAGTGCGGTTAACAGCATTGAGAGTACTGTTCCCACGAGGAGTGAGCTTACTATAACCCGCACAATTATACATCTGAAAAGTCATCTGACATCTAGAACCTATTTAAGCGGGTTATACGCCGTTAGAGCCAGATGAAAGCTCATATAGCAGGAAATTTCTAAACTGGAGAAACTTTCACTACGGCTACGTCACATTCGTCAGGCAAGCCCTCGCTATTATCGGGAATACCGGGGGCAGTTTCTTCACTGTAAACAGCTGCGCGACACTAAAAATGCCCAATAAGAGGGAAAAAATCATCCCGCCTAGATCCATAATCTCGGAACTTCCCCTGTTCGAATGTAATTGATCTAAAACTCAAAAATCTCAGGCGAACATTTGTCTGCTAACTCAACCGCGGTTGGGCTACTTTTAGAAATGCCACTGATTAAACGGCACGTCGCACATCGATTAGTCGCAAAAACGTTCTCTACAAAAGACACACCAAGCTACATCAAGAATGTTCCGATACCTTTATTCGCTACATTTAACACTATTTCTCAGTTTGACTGTACCTACGGATGTAGATGAATCGGAACCTGAGGATGCAAAAAGGAGAACATGTGCTCAAGTTGCTTAAATAATCCAACACTGGAAATACAAAAAACATGGCGACAGAAGAAACAGTCGGCGAAATTGCTTGGATAAGGCATCACACCATACAACCTTGGAACACGGCACGTCTACACCCTTACAAGCCACTCACCACCGTCCTGTATCCGCTGGTTGTAGAAATAAAAGCAAGCCACAAGACAAATGCAGAAATTCATCTAGATCAGTCAGGTTCGTTATTAATTACTATCATGTGGAGTACTTCCAATTCGTAAACGCAAACTGAATGCCACCAAGATATGTGGGAACGTATAACCACCTTTTGTTCTCTTCCCTTGCGCCCGGAACCAAACATCCCAGTGAAACCCAATACTATGAAGAATAAGGAAGAAAACGGGTGTTCGTTTCACTGAACCGTTCGTGTACGCATCCCGATGCAAACAGATTTTTCACAGGGAAGAAAGAAAAACAAATTGTGGACTCTGAACATACTAGGTAGTAGAGAGCACATTAGCGGTCAAGGACAGGTGACAGAGACCTGGAAACAGTGTGATATCATACAAAGTAGGAAGGAGGACTTTGACAAACCAAAATCATCGCAGTTTACTTTCAGACAGCAGGCAACTCTGGACTGTGGTCAAGCAATGGGCAGTAAAGTAAAAAATTACACTCGGGTGCTGTTTCGATGTACAGTAGTGCTACTGAGCACACTGATTCAAACGTTCTTCAATTTCCCTATCTTTAAACGTTGTATCAACTGGCTTGGCAAGACCGAAAATCTTGGGATCACGACTAGGTTCTTCCTTCCCGGAGGTAATTGGTACAGTACGAGGAAGAAGGTTCAGCCTAGGCCGATCTGGAGTTGGTTCAGTAGGAACCGATCGATTGAAGCCAAAAGATGTTCGCGGTTCTGTGGCACGGCCGACGGTAGATCCACGCAGCCATTCACCTGTACCTCCAGAAGTCGGTTCCGGCAGCTCATCACTGGAAGTCGAATTATGAAGAGAATACGATGTTAGGTAAAATAACAACAGCTTGTGGACTACTTAACTTGACAAGACAACATTCGACAGCTGCTTGACCAGCGCTGGATGCAGTGGGTGAAGTTAGCGCCTTTTCGCCTTTCAGACGACAAATACTGACACGAGTAAGCTGTCCGATACCACCAATCGTGTACGTGTTCAGTTGCCGGTTAAAAGTGACCTCATTGCCAAGAACCAATCATGTAAAAATCGTTTTAACGATCATCGCAGTTCAAAAAACGTCTTCAAAGCGGTTATTTTACTACAACTGAGAGAACACGTGTACTGCGATGTGTAAAGATTTATCATCATTCGCACACGTATAATGTGTAGGTTGAAAATTGAAGAGCTAAAAAAGTGTTGAATGGACGCATATTGATTGGCTGCTGTCGGTCGCCTGATGGGCGCTGTGGTAACCATACGAATGGCTTCAAAGTGTTTTGTGCACATAGTCGAAATTGACGCATTTCCTCAAGCATCAAAACTTTGGAGTTGGTGCTAAGTAACAAGACGCAGTCTCCGTCCTCCCTACCCACTTATCAGAATGTCATAGGAGCCCTGTGTTGACACAGTTTGCACACAATTCTTTGTTCACTCATCGATGTATTCCCGCAGGTCAGGATTTTCTAATCATTGAGATCCAGCAGCAATGCCCAGATGGTTGGTGGGCATCTCTTACATGCAGACAGCCATAGGAAGCTCACTGGACATTTCATGCTCTGTTCAAACTCGGCGGAGGGAAATTCGGTCTTTGGTCCATAGTTAACCAACGTTCGACACCGAGCGAGCAAATTTATGTGGCTATCTTAAAAAAGTGGGTCCATTACGGCCGCACGGTTAGTTCTAAATTCACTTTACATTCATTCCGAAACCACTCTGTTTCTAAATATTCGCCATTCAAACTGACCATAGGCTAAGGATAATACGGGTTTTCCGCATAGCTACCCAAAATGACACTTGTAACTATATTGGCACTAAAACCGCATGAGAAAAATACCTAATCACAAAATTCATCAACGCAGTGACAAGGAACAGATCCGCCGACTCTGTTAATTGATTCTGAGGAAAATTTTGATGTTACGAACAAAAAGACCACTGCCGATTGGTCAGGTCGAAACAGCACACCTAAACGAGTATCAACCAGTTTGGAATCTAGTTTTAAGGTTCTATGCATGTAGACAGACAGGACCACACAGGTAGCCTACCGCAGAGACGCTGGTCGGTAACTTCCACGAGGGCGATCATAACCCCCGCCAGTGCGCCTTCCCCCACCGTAGCGGTCACGACCGAATCCCCCGGATCTATCACTCTGTAAGAAAAGAAATCGACGGGAATGGCAATGAAAAGTTCCCTGGCTACGATTACATCTCGTATTTTCGACATCGAAAAAATCGGAAAAAAACTTGAAGGTTGCATTCAGAAGAATGTCACTTCATTTGGATGCAAGAAAAACGCTGTATGCACCGGCAAAGAGAAGTGGCACTTTTCGAGAAATACATTCATTTACAAATCAATTGGTTTTCACGGTAGCGGTCACGACCGAATCCCCCGGATCTATCACTCTGTAAGAAAAGAAATCGACGGGAATGGCAATGAAAAGTTCCCTGGCTACGATTACATCTCGTATTTTCGACATCGAAAAAATCGGAAAAAAACTTGAAGGTTGCATTCAGAAGAATGTCACTTCATTTGGATGCAAGAAAAACGCTGTATGCACCGGCAAAGAGAAGTGGCACTTTTCGAGAAATACATTCATTTACAAATCAATTTGGTTTTCACGAGAGACTCAACTGAATCTATCGTTTATGGTATTCTACAACTGAATGTGCCGCACACAGGCCGCCTCATATTTAAGTTGGAACGATATTCGAGATATCGCAGTATATTTTCCGAAAACAGTCCAATTCGGGTTCGAGCGGAACACAAGTAGAACATAGAACACTGTAAGATGCTAACAGTTTATTCAATTGTTGAATCGGTATCTTGGTTGGTCTGCCCTCGCCATGGCACCACTGTACGAATATCGTGCCAACCGAAACATGAGGCGACCTGTGTGCAGCACACTTAGTTGTAGAATATCATAAACGAGAAATTCAGTTGAGTCTCCCGTGAAAAACAAATTGATTTGCAAATGAGTGTAGTTCTCGAAAACAGTCCTATTTGGATTCAAGTAGAACATAAGGTTGACGAAAACTCGGGGACTGCGCCTACCTGGTGAGCCCCAAGAAGGGCGAAACCGGTCGTGGGTTGTCGAAGAGTTTTCAGCAACCTTGTGAGTAACTTCCTTTATGAGAAGTGGTACTTCTTTCATAAACCCATAAAAACACCTTCGAAGAAGCCAGCAGGAGTTTCTCTAATGATTGGGTACCATACGGTCCTACATAACTAACTGCTATTTTATCCTGTCCGTTTATACAATTAATTCAGCTAACAAGTACTCATTTCAAGTGGTCTGATACTCACGTGCTCTGGCCTGGTGACTAAAGTAACACAAAAATAGAATGACTTCATTTATTTGTAGGAAGCAGAGGAGAGATCTGTCTAGGAGAAATTTATTCCCGGTGTCCTCCAATACGAAGTTGACAATCGTACAGATTAGTACGTGGAGTTCAGCCGTTTTCCTGGCCATGCCTTACGGCGTTAATTGGGTTGGTCCGTTGATTCCAATATCTTGGTAGTTAATAATAAACTATATAATCGTTCAGCTGTAACACCCTTTCGGTGCCTAGTTGCCACGCCATTCGAAGAAAGCACGAGGGCTGGGATAGTGCCAGGTCACCTAAGCCTGAATAGGGTGCTTTTCAGTGCGACCCTCAGGGTCCAGACTTGCACACTTGGTATAACTAGAAGAATCGCGGATAATGTGAAATAGATATACTAAGACAACTTGAAATGGCTCATGCATTATATATATATATATATATATATATATATATATATATGCATCGTGCATTTATACTGGAAGATAACTTGCATGATCATACAAAATGCCTGCGGAACACTGCAATAAACTCTATCGAGAAGGTGGATCTTCGATAAGACTTCAGCTTCGCTTGAGCTTCAAAAACTGACTCCGGCCGTTCACCAGTATAATGCACACCAGGGCACTACCAGACGTCAAATGAAAATGAGCGTCTGCACTGACTTGGAATTTTGATGAACGCATGGTGTAAACAACAGGGGAAATTTTAAAAAACCGAAAGATTCCCAAAAACCATTCGAGCTTATCGGTGCAACAGACCCACAGAAGCCTTCCATAGAACCTAACGTAGACAAAAAAATGGTTTGCCCATTTCTAACAGGCGGTAGGTAGACCGCCTAGAGGTTCACACCCCAGCAAGTCAGTTGGCCCTCCACTAGAAAACCCAGGATCGCTTAGGAAGGGAACAAATATATTCCTTCCTCTCTGACGTAGCTGAGGTAGTGGTCTTAACGAATCAACATTCTTATCTTTTTGGAGGAAATGCTACACACAAGGTTGCTGAAAGCAGCTCAAAAGCCCACGACTGGTTTCGTCCTTCTTGGGGCTCACCAGATCAGCATAATCTCTGAGATTCCGTCAACCTTATGACCTAATTAAACCCAAATCGCATGCAGTTTGCGAAACATGCTCGTCTGCAAACTGATTTGGTTTTGACAGGAAACTTGAATGAACTGCGGGTGAATTTATTGTTTATCATTTCTCACCACCTGTTTTGTATAAGGGTGGGGTGAAACACCCAGTCTGTACTCGTCTAACTTACAGGAATCCGTTTTGAAGGGTGCTATGGTCACATCCCATTGGAGTGAACAGGTTAATAATACCTGTTTTCAAAAAAAGTGCTCGCAAAGGATGTGGCAATCACAAGAATATCAGCTTGATCCCTGTTGTAACAACACTTTTAGCATCAACTAATCTCAATTGTCATCCTACAGCAAGCAAAACCCTGACGCGAGATCGGCAACAGGATGCTCGCGAGGAAACGCGATGTGGACTTGGCCTCGAAATCCACTCAACCATTAAAGCGAAAACATGAGTACGTATTCCGAGAAATACACTCATTTGCAAATCAATTTAGTTTTCACGAGAGACTCAACTGAATCTCTCACTTATGATAATCTACAACTGAATGTACTGCACACAGGCCGCCTCATGTTTAAGTTTTCTCCACACCGGTGGCACTCACCGACACGATCCATCCAAAGCAACTTGTAACACGGAACAGTCCTCAGTCGAACGTATTCATCGCCATTCGTCGTCAACGAAACTAGCGATGACTGGATCTTCCGGGGAAAGTCACCAGTGAATAGCAGAAACGAACGGGACTCGAGTATAGATCGGTAAGACAGAACGGACGCAGGTATATTGTGAGCACACCCCTGACAAGATGCACAAAACGCACCGACAGGTGCGACTACAACTAACGGAGCATATCTTCGATATCATAGGATGCGTGTTTGTGTAGGACACCGTAACGAATTCTAATTCCCACACATTTACCCCGATCTTATTGTCTACGGTCACGGTCCAGCTGTTCCTTGTCGGAAGATTGGATTTTGGAAAGTGATTCATCGAAACTTGCATTAGTCGCAGGACGGTGAGCTCTCCCGTTCAGGGTCAAATATTAGGTAATCGGCTACGATGACTACCATCGCGTTATACAAAATGGGGCTACATGTCGGTTGCGGGGGGAGACTTTCACCTTTATAGGCTGGAGTGACAGGTTTGTATAAGGTCTTATTGTGGTGATAGAAAGTTCCCGCTGTCGTCTGCGTGAGAACCACCGCCAAAAACTGCAAACGACTTATTAGCTCACGAACGAATGCCTCTGAAATGGGTAACCAGGTTGTCCGTTTGTTTTCATTTCTATATCACATCTCTTTGTTACGTAGTGTAACATACTTTGTTGTATTTTACTGCTTTGTAGTGTCATACATCCAAATGTATTTTCTGCGTTGTGTCCTGCTGTTTTCCATTTCGCTGAATTTATTTCATATCCGTTACTTCCATTTACACAAAGGCCCTCCCTAACAGTGAACCATCCAGAGTGTTAGCTCTACAAACGACGCCGGAACCATCGCTGAATAATGGCTAGTTAGTCATATGTTTGCCTGAAGTGGGTCTTAGGCGAGTGCGAACCACCAGACCATATTCCGTATTTTGTAAAATAATGACAAATAAATCATTTAATTAAGATACGCTTTCGGTACACAGCTGCACTGCAAACCGAAGGATGCATAGGCTTCGGGTCTCAACTACTCCGCCGTGCCCACCTGGTTCGATAATTATAGACTACTAGTTGAGCATGTTGATGGATTCAGAAAGTCCTCTTCCTCCGGGCTTATTCCCTCGGATTTACATCGGATACAGGTGTCCAGTTTGAAGCACATATGGCCCAAAGTAAATCCGATGCGACGTAACCCAATGTGTTCAGGAGTTCATCGGTTTTGTTTTTGTTCTGAAAAAACGAACACCAGCTCACCAGGAGATATAACAGTTCACGCTGGACTTTGTAGTCGGCTCCGATTGGTGTTCTATCTTATCCCATAAAGTCGCGATTTTTGCGTGCATGGGTGCATTCATCCGAAGACACGGTGACGGAGTAACTTCATTTCTTCAAACACTTTTCACGACAACCCTCATGAAGTTGCGAGTTAGTGGGTTTGATAGCCTTCTTAGAAAAAAGTCTTGAAGTCTAGAAAACCAGTGGGGCTATCAGATCCATGAACTAGATTCAAGCAGTATCTCACTGGTAAAAATTCGACCGATTACACAGGCTAATTCAGGTGTCCATAGTAAATGAATTCGGACGGCTGACTATCAATTGTCAGTCAACCGGTTATTTCGCTACAAACCGTGTGTCGAAATACAGTGATGCCAGCGGTTGCAGCTTTGATCAGCGAGGATGAGGGGAACAAGGGAATCAGCGTCATGCATTAGAGGCGATGGTCCAATCAATTCACTGAGATAAGATGGTCCTCTTTGTCTGGTACTGCATGGAGTGATGGAGCTAAGCAGTGAAGGCGATAGATTTGAAGCAGTATTACCAATGGCTGACAGCTACATCTGTCAGGGTCACCAGCCACTGACCTTTCTCGTTCCGTTCTCGATCAGCAAGCACGAGGTTTGAGTTCGATCCCTCTAAGACTAGAAGCAAAAGTTCATGCTTCCCACGTTTAAACAGTATACGGAGCTGTGTATGAGAATTATCTAGGTCATTTGAAAGTCTGGTCCAAGAAGGGCAGTATCGTGAGTGATCTCTATGTGAGCTAATGGCTGAGGGATTAGTCAACCCCCGAGGTGCTGGAGGCAGGAAAAGAAGACCAAAG